CCTTATCCACAAAGGATATCCACAGTATGTTTAATTTGGCAGATATTATACATGAATTGCTTTTCCTGATACAACCCCAAAGTGCATTATGTCTCCTTCTGTGCCTGGGGCTGAACTAAGGACCTTTGTAGGCAAATGTGCTATTTGCCAATAACTGCTAATTTATTTCCAACACTATGCAAGCCAAGCAGCTGGGTCATTTACCATTATTGGTATGACATTTTAAAGTTAAGGGTGTCATGTCAGACGTCAGCTTTATCCGTTTTTCCTGCATAAGATTTATTTTGTTTTGTGCAATCCACTTTGATAAAGTGATGTGTAAATCTGCACTTATTGACTAACTACACTTAAACTTACGAACACCTGGTGCAACTGGTCTATGGATTCCATTTTGAGAGAATATATAAATAATAATCATTTCATGTGTGTCCAGTGTACATAATATCTGGTGACACTTTTCCATCACCACAACATGCAGACGTTTATCCCTTGTGTTGTCACACCTCTCTCTATTCAGTCCAGTCCATCCAGCCATCCTCTTCATCATCACAGCACACCACCTCAGCACCAGTCACACCACAGGAGGCAATAACATATGTAACATATGATATTTTTGTGTTTGTATTATTCAGTGTTTCCATCTTAAAATATGCTCCACAGATTCCAGTGTCTTCTTTATGCTCCACGGTTAACTCCTCATATAAAAGAGTTCAGTAATAACTCAGCTGTTTTCCCTGGTGCGCATATAACTCCATGTAAACATTTTAACCCCTCTTCTCTTCTCTTCTCCCTCCTAGTCCAAACTCAAGAATTGTGAATATATGTTCTCATATAAGGTAAGCTTTCATATGGTTTTGGCATATGAAGCTTATGTCATTCATTATGCGTCTTCAAGCCTGTGCAACCTCGCTTTTCTCAGCTTGTGGGTCTCTGGCAGTCGTTCTTCCCCTTGAGAGGAGAACCAACAGAACATGTCACATTTGCATGATGGCTTTTGCCAGGTTTTTTCTAAACCTGGATTGCTGTACCTGGCTGACTTTAAAAGCTCCGTTTTGAGTATTTGAATTTACTGTTGGCGTGATATTGTGAGACTCTCTGTTTTGTAACCTGTAGCAGAAATTAGGTGAGTAAAAGGTTTGCAAATCTTCTAACCTTTGTTGAGATATCAAGTGCATCATCTGAAGGGACTGAGAAGCTCTATGCTATGAAGGCATTGACTGTGGCTGAACAACATCAAACACCAAAGAAAACATACTAAACTATATTTTATGTTTGGACCTGCCTGATGAGTGGTGTATGCATAAACGCAGCAGAAATTATATATACTGTATTTTGTAGGTTTTTGCTTGTTGCAGATGACTGGAGACATTATTCATTAATTTTTTTTTGCAAAGATTGCAGACCTGAATTGAAACATGTTGTGGAATCAGCTGTGCTTGTGCTTGTATGCTGTGGCCCAGTTCCATACTATGCGCTAATACTGAGCAAATATGCAGGGTTTACGCTGCGTTCACATGGTGAAAGTGACAAAATACTCGTCTCAATTTTCAGTGCTGTATTTGAGTGTGCAGAACTATTGTGCTTGTCCCTATTTTATGTCACATACAGTGCTGTGCAAAAGTCTTGAGCCACCTGTATTTTCTTTCTATTTTGCTTCCAGGGAGCCAGACTTTCATGTAATATTTTACAAGTGGTGTTGAGCATTTGGGAGAAAACTTTTAGATCAAATTTTGTACACCTAGGTGAAGTCAGTGACTTTGCATCTTGTGTCACAGATCATATCATTTAAAACTGCATGTACTAAAAGTCATGCATAGTCCACATTTGCTCTGATTAATAATTTTCTTCACTACAAATTACCAAATAAATGGATGAAATTCCAATCACCTGTATTTTGTGTTTAGTGATCATTTTCAGAATGCAGTATCCTTTTATTGCTACTGTAATGATAGCATGCCTTTAAACTCTTGTATACTGTGCAGAAAGACATACAAAGACAGTGTATACTATGGAACTGGGACAAACTGGGTTGGCATTGCATTCAGAAGCCATCCTGAGCACCCTCTTTCCCTCTTTAGAGCTTGTGGTTCTCTCCATTGAGTTTTATTTGCTTTTCTCTGCTCACCCTATTGCTCTTCAGCTTTTCTCCTTCATCTTCCCCTCTCTATTTTTCACTCTCCACATATGTCTCTGTGCCTCACAGCAATATTCTAAGATAGTTTTTCTCCCTGTCCCTTAGGAGGCTTCACCTTCTATGAACTCATGCAACGTGGAGTGCCCCTACATCTGATTGACAAGTATATGACCGAGTCGAAGGTTGTTGAGCAAGAGAAGTAAAAACTGAGCACAGTGCAATAAGACATTTTTGGCTTGCAAACATCTGATGCCACTAGTTACCCTGTTCTCTCAACTGCTGAGGTCAGCAGCCTGCAGGTGGATGGAGGGAAGATGGGACAGGTGGGTGGGTGTGAGGGAGGGTATACCAGTCCGGTGTGGTATGCTGTGTGCAGCTTTGGAGCTAGTTACCATGAGAAAAAAAAAAGCCAGTTCATCTTCTTTATCACTCTGTTATGTTTGAAAGACTCAGCTCAGATGCATGTTGGCAGTGTTTTGGTTCTAGCTTTAATAAGGAATTGTAGTGTGAAAAAAACAAGCTCATGGTGCACAACCAGTGACACACAGCTAGAGTATTTTCATGTGGATTTTTGTCAGGAGTGCTTTTTGAAGGTGGCTGATTACTTCTGGGCTCTGAAAGATTTAGTTTGATGTTTAAAGGGTGTCAGTGAACTAATACGTGGCAAGAAAAGTGAGAACAGACTTGAGTAATGTTGGACAAATGAATGTTTTCACTTTTCTGATATGAATCACATTAACATTTCACTTTTTCTGTTGAGTTAGTAAGACAATATAGAGATTTACACAAAGTCCATACATGTCATTAAACTTTTGAATTCTTGGATTCATACTGGACTGAGGTTTGATTGGGATTAAAACATGTGTGCATGCCTTTACCTTTGTAATTACAACCTGTGGACAACAATAAAAGACACTTTAAAAAATAGTATGTCTGTTGTTGATTTCTGTACTCTTGTGTTGTAGGAATTAATCTTCTTTTCTAGTCTGTGACAGATTCACTGTGTAATTGACCTCATTAATTCATTTTAGTCATATTTATTTCTTTTGCAAACCAGAAATAGCATGAGGGTTTGTGGAATGAGTCATGTATGTGAGATCTGGAAAATATGTTCTGACATATGGAAGGTCTTATGTTTGAATATACTGACTTGACCATATAAACAGGGGGGTAGTTAAAGGAGACCTACTGTGGTGCTCAAAAGTTGACACAGAGTATTGACACAGGTATTGACACAGAATAACCCATTTTTTTAATGGCAAATCTCATAAAACCATAGTTTATTCACAATAGAATATAGAAAACATTAAATATTGAAACTGAGAAAATGTGCCATCTGAAGACGAAAAAAACCAAACACCCACTTTTATGGCAAAACAAATCTTAAAAAGCCGGGACAGGGCTATGTTTCACCCTCTGCTTTTAAGAACAGTCTGAACACTGAAGAAAACAGTTGCTGGAGTTTTGGGAGAGGATTTATTCCCATGCATGTCTGATAAAGGCAGGCCTGGGTCTTTTCTGTTGTATTTTTCATTTCATTATGCTCCAAATGTCTGTAGGCCGGTTCAGCACCTGCTCTCGTCTACTACAAAGCTCTGCTATTGTCTTAGATGCAGTATGTGGTTTAGCATTGTCTTGCTGAAAATCCAAGACCTTTTCTGAAAAGAAAAACTGTCTAGATGGGAGCATAATGTTGTTCTAAAACCTGTATATACCTTTCCCCAGTGGAGACACCTGGGGAACACAGCTGATTAGAATCTAACTAATGAAACGAGGGAAAGCAAACTCGCCATAATGCATATGAGACAAGGGAGTCGAAGTAAATTAAAAACAGGAAGTAATGAAGACCCAGACTAAGACATGTGACGTTGACACAGGGAAAATGTAAACAAATGCCAAGGTGTGACTAACTGGGAAGAAAAGGCTCACTTGATATATAAATATATATATATATAGAGAGAGAGATCATTATTTTTGTGAATAATTTTAATAAACAAACTTAGATCCAACAACCAAATGCAAGGGAAATTTATTAGGAGATTCATTTATTGTGAACCCAAACATATCATAAACAGCTACAGGAGGTATTCTTCAAATTAAGAGTATAGGTATGACACAGGTATTTGTTACACCTGTTATAGTCAGTTATAGTCATGTAAACAATCCAATCTCTGTGAACATAAAGAATCAAATCCCTCTAATGCAGCAAATTAAACCCTTGAGTTAATAACTTAGAAACTATGATTATTAGCCCAAGTACCATAAACAGACCTAGAGAATGTAGGCTAATATTTCTGATTGTTTTTATCATTTGATGTGCGATCTATTTACAAATCCACACTTTTCAAAGCTTAGTAAAAACACAACTCATGTTTACCTTATTTTTTCTTTTAAATTTACATTAGTTAATCTTTAAAAGAACAACATGATTCCAGGTGTTTTTTCTTCTAAAATTAACTATTAACTAAATTAAATAAATGTAACTCTTTTTTTTATCTAACTTTAGCTTTTAGTTTAGAACTAACAAAGTGAGCAAGAAGCACAAGGAGAACAGCTACACTAAGGCAGGTCAAATATGATATGATATTTTAAATGTTTGTGTGGTACTTTCTATATGTTAATGATACCACCTACACTTTTAAGAATCATCGTTTCTAAGTTATAAGGCTTAACCTACATGAATGAGGTAATTATGGGCCTAAATGCATCTGCCAGTCATACAATATGTGCTTAGGTTTGCTTATATTTTAGCAGGTTTATGAGCCAACCAGATGGTTATTATCACAGTGTTATACACTCTTAGGCGCAGGCTATGTGCATTTAAACTTCCCGGTAGATAGCCACGATATCCCTTCCGGACATTCGCTTCCTGCCGAGACGCACCTCGGCCAGAAACGTATAGACATCCACAGCGCTTGGTTCCGCTGTGAAAATGGCCTCTGCTGCTCGTCTACCCTAGACATACCAGATGAGCTGCTGCTGTCTCCTGGAGTCGGCCAACCCTGTCTGAAACACCACCCGGGAATATCAGGGAGTTTTTGCGGTACTCAGAGGAGTGACGAGGCAGAAAAATAATGCCACATTTCCTGTGGCCAGAGCCGTTGTCACCCGCTCAACTAAAGCGGCTGGAGGAGCATAAATACAGCGCCTCCGGTAGATCCCTATTTGAGCCGCCGTGTCAGATCTACTGGAACTGGCTCGTCCAGCAGATACCGACATGGATCGCACCAAATACACTGACTATTGTTGGACTGCTGGTTAATGTCCTCTCCACGTTGGTGCTTGTGTATTATTGTCCCACGGCAACAGAAGAGGTGAGTATAGCGACTGGGGCTAAAGTTTCAAATGTCTACCCATCTCTGCTATGAAAAGACCGTCCTCCATTTAGAAAATGCGTAGGCTAAAGATACACCGCAACCTGTAAGACCCAGATAGCTCAACAAATAGGATTGATTATATTTACTGAGTCCATTGGGGATACTTACTAATTCGGCAAACATTTGAGCTTCACAGCTGCTTGTATTTTAACGTCATATCTACCTTATAGATGGGGCCGTGGTGCTAGCTAACGCCGCAGGCGCTGTATTTTTTGGACTGTTCTGTAGTGTCAAACAGCTAAATTTAAATTTGGTAGTGTAAGCCGAAGTAAGCTTGGAGTCCGTCTCCAGGTTTTTCAGGAAAACCTTTTTTGCTCTTTTTTTAAACCCAAGCATGGCCACAAGCAAGCCGAGACGCTTTAAAGGGGGTTTTAATCGTATTAGGGACGACGTGGACAAGAATAACTGATATATCGGCGGTCATGTGACTTTAGAAAGTTGAAAGGCCTCATGTGACGCAGTGCTGTTTGTGTCAAAACAGCAATTTGTTTCATTGTTTCACTTAAAGCCACTATCTATCAGAGAAGAGGCGAATCATTTAGCAGCCATTTATTGGTAATTAAGAATTAAAATATAAAAGGGGGCGGGAGGGTGTCTAGCCCTTAACCAGACAAAAATATACTTATTTAAATGAGTATGCTGATTTTGAAACGCCTCTATATTATTCTGTAATCTAAGAATACTATAGAGAATGTGCCTTGCAGGTAGCAAGTTGACCTAGGGCACAGTAAACCTGTCTGTCCCTGCAGCAGTGGGTCCAGCTGCTCATGCACAGGTTGGTGAGTTAATCAGACTTGCGCCTTTGCTCGTTCTAACTATGACAACCTTGCACCTGAGTCAAAGTCCATGCACTCCCACTGACTCCACCAGTTTCATCTACTGTTATTATGCATTGATTGAGGCATACAGTGTACGCTTTTATTTATGGAGAGTTAAGAGTTAAGTCCCATCGCTGTGCAAACAAACACACATTCACAGGAATTCATCGGAGCCTATGGAAATGGGTCAGAGTTTTCCCTCAAGTTACTGCTGTGATAAACTTAAACAAGTAGTCCACAAGGCTTTTGGGACATGTGCTTCATCTCTGTTGAAACTCACTCTTTTTTTGTGTGTGGTTCTCTCTCTCTCAGTCACAGGCTTACACAAATGCTCTCTCTCTCTCTCACACACACACACACACACATTGTAGTTTTGCAAACATGCTATGTTGGCCAGCATTACTGTCCAGATGGTCCATAACCTCCACCCTAGTAAAGAGGAGCTGAACTGGTCTAGTCAGCTGGAGTCCCTCCTACTACACACTTCAGAGAGATGTAGCACATATGGCACATAAGTATTATTTAAATCCAACAGTGCACATGTGTATGAATTCAAAAGCTCTATAAAATCCAAAACAAACAACTTCTGAAAATCCAATACCTCAACAAGTTACACAACCCTCTCCTCCCCCCTCATATGAATAAGAATTAAAGTTGTGAAATACAGATATGATTAGTAGAGACCATCTTGTAATGTGGTCAACAACTGCAATTTTTAAGAATTATATGATTCTAGACCAGGGTGTTACAAATAAATGACAGATTGCGAAGGAAGTGGGGTGGGTCTAAAGTGGTCCCTTGGTCCCTGTGATTTTGCAGGGGGATTTTGCACAGATTAAAATTTGGCCTGTCTTATAAGAGCTCAATTGATTTGGACTCTAAGACTGATTGGTAGTACTCAAGATCTTTGTGACTACATGAGAATGACTGAAATATTCACCAGTTACCCACATTTTCTTTAGCTCTACAACTATCTGTATTTTAAGTAGCTTAAATAGACCAATTAGGTGATTATCTGTGTTGTAAGAATGGGTGTGTAACTGTCAGTCTCCCTCTCTCGTCCCTTACCTGGCTTCAGGCTCCATCATGGGCTTTCATCCTGTCGGCTCTGGGGCTGTTCATCTACCAGTCTCTAGATGCTATTGATGGGAAACAGGCCAGGAGGACAAACAGCAGCTCAGCCCTTGGTGAGCTCTTCGACCACGGCTGTGATGCAGTCTCCACAGGTAATCTCCTAAACCCTGAAGTCTGCTGCGTTTGATTGTAATAAACTGATTGTAGCATGTTAGTAAACAAAGCTTTGGCTTTAATTTCATTAACATGACTTTAATGTGCTTACCCCGGTGATTCTCTTTCAGTCTTTGTTGCTGTGGGAACGTGCATTTCATGTGGAATAGGACAATATCCAGACTGGACTTTCTTCTGTGGTTTTATTGGGATGTTTATGTTTTTCTGCGCCCACTGGCAGACCTATGTGTCCGGGACGCTCCGCTTTGGCCTGTAAGTCAAATATTTATTTTAAATGTATTTTTCTTTTAATATAAGAAAATGGTCATCGTTATTAGTTTGCAACACTGAATGATAAAATAACTTGAAGACAGTAAGCTAATTTGCCTGGCAAGCCACTTCCACTGGCAGGTCAACGTTACCCCAAAGACCGTTCAAGCCCCGTCCACATGCAAAGTGTTTAACTTGTCATGCATTGCTTTGCATGTGATAGTTGGTTGCTAGTAAACAGTCCAGGTTCCTGTTGCCTAAATAATCCTTCAGTGCATTTACCAACTCACATAGTCACGTGGGGAAAAAAGAGAGTTTCTAGGGCTCTAAGCAGTCCTTTGAAAAATTGAGTATACTCCATGATTCGGTAGCTTGTATAACCACCTTTAGCTTATTTTCCCCCCTTTTTTTATTCTGTGTGACCTCAGCAGTCTCTCACATTATTATGGCCCACTCTTCTTTACAATGATGCTTTAGTTCATTGAGATTTGTGGGCACATGTTTATGCACATCTCTCTTTAGGTCCCACCGCAGCATTTCAATTAGGTTGAGGTCTGGACTTCGTCATTAGAACATTTTATACTCTTATTTATCAATCATTCTGTTTTAGATTTGCTGCTGTGTCTGGGATATTTGTCCTGTTGCATGACCCAGTTTGGCCTAAGCTTTAGCTGTCGGACAGATGGCCTTGTATTTAATGCTTTTGTTATACAGAGGAGTTCATGGCTCACTCAGTGATCACAGGTCCTCTGGCTACAAACCAGCCCAAACCATCACCCTTACACCACCATGCCTGACAGTTGGTATGAGGTGTATGTGTTCCCCTGGAAGAGGAGAAAAGACCCACAGCCCATGTTGAATGGCTTGTTTTATGAGAACATCTAATTGTAGGATCCGGTCACACAGTGGCATTTAAAAATGCTGCAGTACCGATGCTGTTGTTAAACCTTCGCACTGTCACTTATCTCACACTTCCCTCATATGTTCTGCACAGGGTTGATGTCACAGAGGTGCAATTCGCCATCATAATCATGTATGTGATGTCAGCTTTCGGAGGCGTGAGCCTTTGGCAGTACACGGTAACTGAGAATCCATTTCTTCACACTCGCCTGCACAAATAGTGTACACACAGGGACACTTCCATTTCACCTCAAGTGTATAGTCAAACCTTTTTCTCCTTAGTTTTTACACCAGACAAACTAACTGAATCACTTCTTAGGCTTTAGTTGTCATGCTAGTCTTTAAATAGAATTTGTGTTTTACTTTTACTCTGTGCTGCCTTTGGAGGCTTGACTTAACATCACATGAGAGAAGTGAGAAGGTAAATATGGGTAGCTAAAGCCATGGCAACAGGTCATCTACTGGACATGATCTGGCTCAAAAAGCTGATGATGTCGCCCGCATTTGTTTGTGTTTTATTTGGATATATTTATTTATTTATTTGCTTTGCCCTCCCATCATGCTCAGCATGCTGCAGCTTTCATATAAGCACTTTTCTATTTTATAAGGAGAACGCTTCTTGTTTTCTCTTTATTTTGACCTCAATGTGTTCCCATAGTTGCCCATCATCGGACTGAAGCTGTATGCCTTCCCCGTCATGGGCATCATCGGGGGAGCCCTGTACTCCTGTTACAACTATTTCTATGTCATTTTGAATGGAGGGGTTGGCAAAAATGGCTCCACTGTGGCTGTAAGTTGTAAATACAGCATTATTTTAATATTTTAAAAAAATGTGTAAAGCGCAAAAACTAATCAATGTTTCTGCTCTTCAGGACACCAGCGTGCTGAGTCCCGGTTTGCACATCAGCCTCATCCTTACACTGGCCTTCATCATTTTCAAGAAGTCATCCAGCCACCTGTTTGAGCACCACCCCTGTTTGTACCTGCTCACCTTTGGAATGGTTATCGCCAAGATTTCCAACAAGCTGGTGGTACGTTGGTGTTCTCTTAATTGCCTGAATGAACTGTCACATATCTTCTTTTGTCTGTTTTTAACCCAGTGTTTAACCTGTGTTTTCTTTCTTTCTTGAATCTTCTCTGAAGATGGCACACATGACCAAGAGTGAGTTATACCTACCAGACCCAGCCTTTATTGGGCCTGGCCTCCTATTCCTCAACCAGTACTTTAACAGCTTCATTGACGAACACATAGTCCTCTGGATCGCCATGGTTAGTACTGATCTCACAGGTGTCTTTGTTTAAAATGCAGCCCCACCCTTTTTGTCACCTCTAAGTAGCCACATTCTTTGCTCTTCTACCTATATGTGTATATAGTTAATGCCTTAAATTATTTTCCTTGCATACTTTATTTAGTTGAGAGCTTTTCATTATAATGATAACAATAGAGAAATAAGATTGGAGCGTAGTGCCTTGATATACTTGTAGGACTTGTCAGCGTTGATGACTAATACGCACACAGTTAAATCAACTTCTCATAAGCACAGCGGCTTTCATTTCTGTCTGTGGGACTCTTATCTCTGCTAGTTGCCATCTAATCATTATAGTTGTGGTTCAAAGAGCACAAAGTTTCTACAATGCAAGTGAGATGACTTGTGATAAACCTTCCTTTGACACCCATGACTCGTGTTGTATCTCACACGCTGTTGCAAACCCCTACAGGGTTTCCAGCTGATCAGCTTTGAAAGGATAAATACAGTTTAAAAACTTTACACTTCAAAAGAACTTTACAGCCATGTTCTCTGCTATAAATGGTAATCTTTTGTCAGTGTGACGGCCGAGATGGTGCGCTGATATTCACTCAGAGTCAACAAATATATTAATAGCTGATGGGAAACCACCATTTGAATTTGGAGCCAGCGTAGGTGTGCAAACACGTTTTCCTCATTTGACACTGACATGCCACACTAGGGAGGGCAAAAGTATTACTAATGTCAGTAATCACATCCCGGTATTACAGATTCTGGCTTACTGGTTTTCCTTATAGCAATACTTATTGTCCATCTAAACATGCGTGTTAGGATCATTTTATAAATAATAGCCATCCATGACAACAAGAAAATCTGTGATTGCATAAACAGGAAGCAGGAAGTTGGTTACTTAGTTTTCAAAGTGTGTGTCAGTCCTTCAGCCCTCAACAACCAGAAGCTTGTGCGTGTCTCGGGGTATGGCAGTGAACCGCTTTACTTTTTAAATGGAGGAAAGGAAACTGCTACAAAACTAAAGATTTCCATGTAAATTACTTCCTTGCGGTATCTAGTGGCTGTTCTTGTATCATCCTTTGTGGTACCATTTAATGATGCTGTCTGTTAGGGACCTGTATTGCATCTGAAATTAGTATATCACCTAACATAGTACGTCTTTATTATTTTTGCTCCAGGTCCTCTCCAGTGTGGATTTGATACGCTACTGCACGGGCGTGTGTCTCCAGATCGCCTCCCACCTGCGCATCCACGTCTTTAGCATCACAACGCCGAGCCAGCTGCACCGCGACTGACGGTTTGCCCGGCGGGAGGAGGCGGGAGGGGACGCAGATCTCTTCCCGCTCCTGAAAGCAGACAGCGACCACGATGACGAGGAGAAACCCTCGACCTCGAGCCATTGCAGCCTTGACAAAGTAACCACTTCAGATTAAAACTCACACCCACTAAGAGGAAAGCTAAAACTACCGTGATACAAAAAAAGAAGGAAAAAAAAAACAACCAAGCATGGATCTGTTGAATGAAAAATTAACCCAAGTTTCCCTTGAAAACCCAGTTGCCTGATGAAGTCTTTCAGATTTTAATTTCAAGGTAAATGCATGTTGTTAGATTTAATTTTTTGAACATCATTTGGCACTTCCAGCTTATTCAACACAAAATACCAAAAAAAAATAAAAATCTTTTAATAGGTATTTTTTAGCTTGGGCAAATATCAAAGCATTTAAGTGAGCTTTAAATATGGAGACATGTTCCTCATGGATTGTTGTACAATTAACTAAACACATAAATATGACAATCACGAGTGACAATTTAAGTAAAATTTCTTTGATATCTGCTGAATCTGAATCAAATACCTGTTAAGAGTTTTCTTAATGACTTGTTTTAATTTGTTAAATGAAATAAGACTGAATTTGATACAAATTAGGGCTTTAAAGAAACTTTTTTTTAAAATAAACTTATAGACCTTAAAATAATTTCCAATAAGGTTTCCAATTTGGACCGGCAGGTTGTCAGCAAGCTGCATCGAAGGGTAACGATCGTGTGTTAATGCTGAAAATGATGACGTGTCTAAAGTTAGGCCGATCTCACAAACCCCACTGCAGTTGTTTTTTTTGTTTTTTGTTTTTGTTTCGACTCATCTCATCCTGCAGTCGTGGAAAACAATCCTTAAAAACATCTTCTCCGGCCTCTGGAGCACCGTCGACCGATGAAGCGTCAACACTCGGCTTGTTCTGCTTTCTCTGTTCTTCTCCCTGAAGGGCTAATGATTTTGTGTGATTGTACAGAATTGAACTGAAGATGCCTTAAATATTTTTGTTGTAATTACTGTTTAACTTGTGAATATTTAAAGCAGCTTTGTACATTTTTTTCCCACTCAGTATCACACCAGATACAGTAATAATAGAACACTATCCTGGAAGGTTTTTTTTTTTTTTTTTTAACTATTCACTCATGTTCATTTATGCATAATTGTTATGTATATGTGACCGATTTCTTTTTTTAATTAAGTTTTGTTGGATTATTAGTAATTGTGTAGTGAATCTCAATGAAGGGTTGTAATCAGAATGAAACATCATTCAGGATCATTTGGGTAAAAAGGGACATTTCTGTAGAGCCGGTAAAAGATTTGAGGGCGTGTATTTTTTATTTTATTTTGAAAATTGCCATTGTCGTCCCCTTAGATTCTGACACTATACTCCTGTCTCGAGAAGCTTATTTATGGATGGACTTTAGAGCTATGCATTTCAAAGGTACAACCATGGTTCAAAATCACTTTGTTGCACTGTAATGCAGTGAAACACCTTTCTACTAACAGACATGAGTGGAAAAGATTGTAATAAAGAAAATATTTTTCATCCATTTTGATTGTTCCTGTCATTGGTGGAAAAAAGTACTGCAACACTACCTTGTAAAAATACTGCAAAGTGACTCAGGCTTTGAACACAGCATAGTTTTTGGTTTCCCAGATGAGCTGGTCTGATCTAAGGAGGATTTTCTCACAAAGCCATCTTGAGTTTCCAGAGAATGGTCAACAAAAAATAAAGCGTATGCCTTGATGTCAGAGAAGAACAGCATGTCCACCCTTCATGACCTCACTGTAGCCATCTTCTGATGACAGCTTCCAGCAGGAATACACATCTCTTAATGTTTAGATTATTTCAAACTGTTTCTTGAACATGACAATAAAAAAAAACACCGGCTATCATATCTCAACCAAGTAGCGCACTAAGGGGTTTGGTGGAACGGGAGATTCACATCACAGGTATACAGCCAACAACCATGCCATGTTGAAAGTCCCTTAAACATGCCTGTAAAAGTAAATTTATTGACGTCTGAAATCTGACGAGCCCTGATTATTAGTCTGAGGTGAGGAATTGAGGAATAAAATTGTAGTAAGTGTGGAAAGAGTAATGTGAACAGTACTGACAAAAACACCAAGCTGACCGAACCAAATCGCATTTATTTCTGTTAAACCAACGAAACTGGTGCAATTAGAGTAAATTCATCTTCCAAATATGGCTCTCAGCGTCTCATCTGCTGACACACATCCTATGAACCCAGAGCACAGTGGCAAAATGCTGACAGCTGCTAGTGCTCATTTCCATTTTTGTCACTATAATAAGAAACACTATAAAACTGGCGTTCAGAGGAAAACACTTGCGTATCGTTTACATTCTAGAACTCAAATCGACTGTGTCAGTCACGGGGCTCACTGTCACAACAATACAATCAAAATAAGTTAGAGAACATGCTGAGGAGGTCTGAATTTCAGACAGCAGCGAGCCTGCTGAGTCCCACAGGGACACACGTACAGGCAGCTTTGAAAGCTGTAGTATTACTTCTAATATAGCTCCACCAATCACTTACATTTGTACCACGCAGAGAATTATATTCATATTATCCTGCATCCCATTCATTCTTACTGTAAACCACAAGATTAGAGTAAGATATCATTAGCATTTACAAGAAGACCTTTTAAAATCCCAAAAGGAGATTAACAAAAACATTTAAACAAGCAGGAATGAACAACGAAGGCACTAAAAGTTTTCTTGTTTCAAATATGGCAGACGAAGATATGGCGTCCAACACTTTAATCACCTAATCCTATTTGTCCTATATGTATAAATTTGATCCTCAATCTTTTTAAAATTAGCTATAACATAAACACAAAAGAACTAGAAGTAATGACTGTGTTGATTATCATTTGACTCTATGAGTCTGTCAGCATCCCAGCAGCAAAGGCAGCATTCTCAAACACAAACAAAACCCTCCAAAAACTTACAGTGATATAAAACAGATTAAAAAACAGTAAAGAGACTTTTACCACCAGATTTAACTGACTAACCAACCAAACAAACAAACAAAAAACCCTTTAAATTTGTCTCGACAGACACTGACATGCTGATATCAAGTGTTTCCCACTTTAACAGAATACTAATCAGTGGCATGCTGAGGGCAGGACGTGAGGAGGGTGGTGCAGGGTGGAAGGAGTGTTGCTTGTTCGTGGTGTGTAAAAAGTCTCGGGTGCCTCCAGTGGAAGAGAAGAAGATTTATGAGCTCCTCCTGTCTGGCTGCTATTCTCCTCACCGGCCAGCCCTGTCTATCATCTTCTGAAAAATGTTTCATTAACATTTCACACGAGTCTCTCCTCAAATCCACGGTGATGCAATTCTGCGCCGAGGATCTTGGATTGCTTTTTCCAGCTGGCTTGCATCCTTCTCCTGTGCTCACTGTGGAGGTGGAGAGGACGCGCCGAGGCTGTTGTTCAATAAAATGAAGAGAGGGAAGTCTTCCGCTTTCACACCCGCTCCGGGTTGCTTTCCCGGTTCATCCTGCGTCTGGGGAACAGCTTTCGCTTCAGCAGGATGAGCTGCAGGAACAGGGGAAAGAGGAAATGTCACTACTAAACCTGCAGAACAACTGATTGAATATGAAAGGGGTGGCAATAAAGGTCATTAACTTCCTTCTGTACAGACGAGGACAGAGAGATCTATCTATCCAATCTATAATGCACCTAATTAAATGATCATCAGCAAATGTGAGCACCTCTATAAAAGCAAAGAAAAGGTCAAGGCAGTTTGCAGGTCTGGCAAATTCAGGTGTGAATATATTGCCGCAATCTTCCCAGGAGTGGTTGTCAAAGCAAATTCACTCCAAGATCACTCCAAGAGAAACTACAAAACCCCCGAAATCTACATCTTAGACTCTACAGGCATCAGTTAGCATGTTAAATGTTAAAGTTCATCACAGCAGAATTAGAAAAACACTGAGTAAGTATGGCTTGTTATTCAGTCTTAAAGAACATGACAGCACAGCTTAGGTTTGCAAAGTCGAACAAACCACAAATTATAGATATTTGGCTATAATGCACAGCACCGTGTCGGGAGAAAACCAAACACAGCACAAACACCTAATGCCAATTGTCAGTACGGTGGCGGAGGGGTAGTCATTTGTGCTCGTTTTGTGACCACAGAACCTGGGCACCTTGGAGGCATAGAGCCAACCATGAACTCTTCTGTATACCAAAGTATTCTAGAGTCAAGTGTGAGGCCTAAAGTTAAAGCTTGGCCCAAACTGCGTCAGGAACAGCAGTAAATCTACAGCACAAAGGCTGAAAAAGGGAAGAATGAACCTCAACCTGGTTTAAATGCTGTGCAGAGACCTTAAGAGAGCTGTGCATGAATTAATGCCAATTCCTCAGCAATATATGTGAGACTGGGAAAGTCATACAGAAAATATCTAGCTCAAGTTATTGCTGCCAAATGCAGATCTATTGTATCTAAAATAACATTTTTCTTTATTAAAAATAGGAAAACGCGACTTTTAAATCACGGCACAGGAAATTGCTGTCATTTCATTTTTCACGACTGTCAAAAGGATACAGTGTGTGTGTGGTAAAGCAAAGGTTTATAAATCAGAAGGTCGGCAGTTTGACTCCACGTCTCGACCTCCTCATTGGCACCATTTTTCATTTGTTTTTTTAGCAACAGCAAATGGTTATAAGTGGCATCAATGTTCTCATGTAACTGTGCCCAGACTGCAAGTATATTTCCCAAAATGTCAAACTATTAATTTCACCAATCAAGGCTTTGATACCAGAGTCCCCTCAGATGTTTGTAACTCAAGAAAGCAAAGATAATCTTAGACATGGAGCAGCCGAGTAAAATCACCTCCCTCTGAGGAGTGAAGACACATTTGATCTCTCCAATCTAAACTCTGACATAAACAGAAGGGCAGCCAGATTCAGATAGTGCCAGAAAGACATCAAAAGTCAGTCTGTGTACAGTGACAACGACACAAGACAAGTGTGACACACTGGTCCCGTGGGTTTCTGTGAAGGAAATTCTCCTAAGGTCACTGCAACTATTAACCTTTCTTTTAGTTCGCTGAGGAGAAACTGGAAACCTCTGGATTAGGAAGGTACCTCAGAACAGTCGACTAGTATATGTTAAACAACTCGCGGCATTTGTTTTAAACCGTTTCCAACACCAAAGAGGAAGAATTTGAAATGTGTCCAATAATATTTTCCTGCGTTTAAAATGATTTTAAGTACTTTCTGTATATTATTACAGCTTGAAATGCAACTTTTCTGAAGGTTCAATATATAGCAGGAATTGTCTGATCCCAGTTAACAAAGACAGTTAAGTCTTGCCTTCCATAAAAGGCTGCTGGGGTCTTTCATCTTGATAAAGGCCGGTCACGACATAGCTGGTCATACTAGCTCGACACACGAGATGGACGCTCCTCAGAGAGGAATTTCGGTAGCGAAGGCCGTTATCATAACTCAAGCGTGAATCATGGAAACGGAGAGGTGTGCAAGCAAATTCTGTGTGTATCTTTGTCTGAATGTCTAAATGAGCCGAGCGTGGTTCATGGTTAACACTGACCTGTTCGGCGAAGAAGGATATGACAGTGAAGATGACGAGGGTCACGAGGACACAGTGGGTCCAGAACTTCAACTTGTCCCGATACACCCGCCTGGGAAACAACACATTTCAATCAGTTAACAAAAAACTTCAATCCAACTCCAACAGGTACAGAGGCAGGCGTCAAATGATCGTTCTGCATTAGGTAAACATTTGCAGTGGCAGGTCAGTGGATGATAAGGTGTGATGTAAC